GATCAGATGAGTATGATTTGACTGCTGATGATTTGTTTAGAACCAAGAATTTGAAAATAGTTACAGTCATGAAAACCTTATTTGAAGATAGTTGCAATCATGAAAACCTTGTTGTCATAAGTACAAGCACATGATGTGAACAAAATCGTTTTCCTATGCATTGTGTTTTTTGCAATCATCACATACATTACATGCAGAATGAGCTTGATTTTTGAAAGAAAATAAATACAATTGAAGAAAGATACTTCTCAAGAAAAAACAAAAGAAAAAACTAAAAAAAAGTCCTTTAAAAAAAAAAATCATTTTCAAGGCCTCATATGCTACCTAGCTTTTCAAAGATAAAACTTTCAAAACTTTTCAAAATGAAAATTTTAAAGTTTGTTGTTTATCTTTTATAAAAGTCCTTTTCGAAATAAGATTTTTAAAATTTGTTATCTATCTTTATAAGAACCCTTTTCAAAATGGAATTTTTTGAAATTTATCTTTATAGAAGCCATTTTCAAAATGAAGTTTTTAAAGTTTGTTGCCTATCTTTATAAGAGCCTTTTCAAAATAAGGTTTTTAAAATTTGTTGCCTATCTTTATAGGAGCCCTTTTCAAAATGAGATTTTTAAAGGAGCCCTTTTTCAAAATGAGATTTTTAAAGTTTGTTGCTTATCATTATAAGAGCCTTTTTCAAAATGAGATTTTAAAAGTTTACTGTTTATTTTCATAAGAGCCCTTTCAAAATGAGATTTTTAAGGTTTGTTGCTCATTTTCATATGAGCCCTTTCCAAAATGAGAATTTTAAAGTTTATTACCTATCTTTATAATAGCACTTTTCAAGGAGATTTTTAAAGTCACTTGCTATGTTTATAAGAGCACTTTTCAAAAAATGATTTTTAAAGTCACTTACCTAAGACTATATGAGTATCTTTTTTTTTTTTTTATAGAAAAAACCTCCTCCAACATGGAAACAAAACAAACAAACAACACACCAACAAAACCCTTTTAGCCCTTGGTCTTGGACAAAATCGGTGTCTTTGGTTTTTGCATTATTTCTGATTTTCAAAAATATGTAAAAAAAGATAGCTATAAACACTTAATTTTATCTGAGCAAATTTTGACCATTTGTGAAGCCCTTCAAATCTAACCCAGTTCAAATCCAACACTTCTCCAATTTTTGATAAGTTTTAAAATTAAAATTTAGACCAGTTTGATCCAAATGCCCTAAGGTCAAATGTGGTCAAAATTGATTAAACTTGGATAAACAAAATCAAACTTAGTCAAAATATCTCAAAATGAATGGAAATCATATCAACTTTCAAAATTCACAACCAATTAGGATCAATGCAACTTGGAATTAAAATTTGTGATTTTTAAAGTTTTAAAAAATTTTCGCACTTCAAAAAATGTAAAATTATCAAAATACCCTTAGAAGTATTTTCATAATTTGACTTTTTTGAAATCTAATTTTCTTGAAACTTTCATATTATAATTGAAATTTTTTAATGATTTTTTTATTCATTAAAAACCGATATCACACCTTGAGAGGTGTGAAATTACAAAATACCTTTTATGGGTATTTTCGTAAATTGACCTCCCAATGTCCAAATTTCGCAAAAGGCTCCATATCATGATTTTATATTATTTAATATTTTGAAATATTGAGAACTTTGATTGTACTTTTAAATGTGTGACATCACTAAAATACCCTTTAGGGATGTTTTTGTAATTTAACCTTTCTAACATCATTTTTGTGAAACTTTTCAGATCATGTTTACCTTGTCTAAGACATGGGGGGAGACAGAATAAATTCAATTAGCTGCCCCTTTCCTTCAACTCTTCCCCTAACATAGATAGCACTGGGTCCAGGGGCTTTTCTTCTTGCCTCGGCATCTGTCTTGTACGTTGGTGTTGGGTACGCGAAGGCTTCTACTTTTGCTTCTAGTGTTGGCTTGTGAACCAATTCTCAACCCCTCCAATCCAATTACATGAGATGCAGCTCGTGGATCTATTCCAAAGAAGTCCCCCACCATGAAGGCATTATGAAAGGACTATACTATAATATTTGATGATTTTTTGTATATTGAAAACCTTGATTGCACTTCGAGAGATGTAAAATAACCAAAATATCCTTTAAGGATAATTTCGTAATTTGATCTTCTTGAGGTTGGATTTTCATGAAAATTTTTAAATCTTAATTTCATATTATTTCATATTTTTGGTGCTTAAAACCATAAAAAAGAACAAAAGGAACATTGTTTTCCAAGGAATTGGCCTAAAAATAAAAAATTTGGTAAGATGAACAAAATAGTTTTTTCATTGGCTCCAATTGCATAAAAAATCCCATATTTGGCAGTGTGCATTTTGGACTATAGGATGACATTATGAAGCTTGATCCAAGGGTGAAAGCTTGCTCTTTACAAATAAAATAAGGGAAAATGTATACCATTAGATGTTTTTTGGATCAAAGGGCTATTTTCAATTTCATGTCATGCTTATCTTGAGCTGGGTTTAGACAAGGAAGAATAGGGAAGAAGGGTGGAAAAAATGCAAAAAACAAGAGGAAGAAAAGAGAAAAAAAAGTAAAGGAAAAAAAGAGGAAAAAAAGAAAGAAAATTTTTTTATGTTAGCTAGCTTGAAGGTATGACCTTACTACTTTTCCTCTTGCATTCCTTGCATTTCCATCACATTCCATATCATTTTAATATTGGTTGTCTTCATTTTTCTTTTTCTTTTCCTAAAAAATTTCATAGTTATTTGTGTTTTTTATTCCAAATTTGATCCAAACATTCAAACAACTATTTTATAGTTGGATTTAAGCTAAAAGATAAAAAAAAGCGAAACAACCCACTATTACCACCATTTGGAGGTTCAACCAACCTCCCCTTCACCATGGTTGAACCTCTTTTTAGTTTTCTTAATGATTTGGTTGCTTTTAAATGTTGTTTATGATGATTAAATGATGACTTTATTTGTATTTTGCATGAATTTTATTTGATTATTGATATATGTTGGTGCTTAGTTCGTGCTTTAGTTGTTGATGTTTTTTTTTTTTACAATTTCTAGTTTACTTCATGTTTGGTAAAATTTTTCTTATGATCTAGACATCTTCATAGGATGATTTGGTGACTAATCATTCAAAGACTGTAAACTAAAAATCACTCGAAAATTGTAAACTAAAACGAATCCTTAATTATTCGAAGAATGTAAAATAAAACGAATCCCTAATCATTTGAAGATTGTAAACTAAAAATCATTATGATCTAGACACCTTCATAGGATGATTTGGTGACTAAGTGATGCATGCTTGAGTGACAATAATGAAAATATGTTAGTTTGAGCTGCCATAGGACATTCGACCAAGGTGTTTCATTGCTTGGTTGAAACTTGCTCTCCCTTTTATGGTTGAATGTTGCTAAATTCCATGTGTTTAATTATGTTTTTGGTAAGTTCTTCAAGTTTTTAGTATGTTTGATTTAATATTTCATGAATAAAATGTTAGTTTGGTAGGTTTGGAAGATTTTTTTGTGTTTGTTCGATTGATTTTTGAAGAAAAAAAAATAGTGGAACATGTTTTAAAATTATGAAAAATTTTAGTGTCTAATTCATTACATGTTATCTCATGCATATCTTATTTGTAATTTAGTTTTATAAATGCCTAAATTTGTAATTAGTTTATTCTTTTGTCATGCATTTGTATTTACATTTTTATTAATGATATTTTTGTAATTTACTTTTATCACATGCATAATTTCATAAAACCCCAAATTCCATGAGACCCAACTCCAGGAAACCTTAAATTCTAAAACCTAAATCTTAATCTTAAACTTTAATCTTAAACCTTAAAGCTTAAATCTTAAACCTTAAATCCCAAACCTTAAAAACTAAATCCTAAACTTAACCTAAACTCAATGCATGCATTTGCATTTCATTTTTAATTTATTATACATACTTAAATAATCATGCATTTGTATTATGTCATTCATGCCTTCATTTATTTTTATTATATTCATGCATACCATTAACATGTTTTCAAAAATATGTTTTCGAAAAGATCATTTTTAAATAAGATAACATCTCAACTAAGTATAGCAGTCAAGATTTGTCTTAACAGTAAAGGGACTTACGGTAGTTATTATTTACATGAAATGTTATTTAAGTCTTTGTGGGACAATTTAAAAATATTTAAATTAGATATATTTTTGAAGCTCTACCTTAATATAAGAGAGTGAAAAAAAATATTTAGATATTTAAATCGTTTTTACTTTGATCCAAAAATAAAATGTTTTATTTTCAAAAGATTAATTTGTTTTAAAAAGATAAAAAAATTCAAGTTTTTAGAATGAAAAAGGGAATTAATTTTTTAAACAATATAATAATAACATTGTACCAAATTTCAAAGATAGCATGCAATTAATTGATACTGTCTACGATAAAAGTTTGGTGGTACTAATTCTTTTTCATGCATAACGGACTCCCGAACTCTAAATTTGATTTCTCAAGCCACAAATTTGTTTATTTATAAAAGTTTTAAATCTTTCAAATGTTTTATTAAAAGAACAACTTTTGAATGACCAATCATACCCCAAAAAAAATTGGACCGACTTTTTATTTTGACTTTTTTTTTTTGAAATGCCTTTTTAAGCCCCCAATTTCTCATTCTCCATTTGTCTAGTGGATGAATCACCACCTCTGGTCTCGAAATGTTACAACACAAGCGCCAATAAAAGACAATAGAAAGAAGATAGTACAATATGGGCAAAATTTTGATTGAAGAGGTTCAAAGCAAATAGTCCATGGCTGTAAGTATAAGATCTTACAATGACTCCAAAAAAAGTTAAAAAGTGAACCCTAATTCACCCTAATTCTTTATAAGTGCAAGAAAAAAGTAAAAACTTTATGAAAGAATAAAAAGAAAATCAATGTCCATTACTTGATTATGATGTTCCAAAGGTTTTTGAGGAACTTTTAAAATCCAAACTCTTTCCATTACCTGAAATGAAATGGTGTGAAAAAACTGATTAAGTGATTGATCCAAATGTAACAACAACCTATTAGAGGCAAAAAATAAATTCCTCTAACTTTAGATATAGAGGCACATTTATTTGACCTTAAAAATAGCTTATAACAACTATTTTGTCTTTAATGATAACCTTTTGAGGCACATACTTGTGCCTTTAATTTTGGAATTAGAAACAATTATATTTGTTCCTAAATTTGGATATGAAGACAGAAAAATTTGCCACTACTAACAACTAACAACAATTTATGGAACTACTACACAAAAATTTTAGAAACTTCTACAACTGCCTCTGAATATATTATTTTCTTTTTTAAATAATTGATTTACAATATAAAAGGTAATAAATAGTTCCTATAGACCTATATTCATAAACAATTCAAATTATTTTCATTAATGTATTAAAATTGAAGAGTAAATTGCAAAATTGTTGTTTAAATTACATTGTACATAACAAATATAAAAAAGATTTGAGTAAAAGTTAGTACATATTGTGTTTCCTCCGCATGAATCTTCAAAAAGTTGCAAAATCTTTTGTTAGAGCAAACCAATAACAACACTTCAAAGTATCCAAGTTCCATAATCATCTTCATTTGCAGTAAGTTTTGGGCAATCTCTTTGTCTAGGTATTACCACCATATTAATAATCATTATTCGATCCTAAAATGAATAGAAAAAGATTTTGTTAAACAAACTTAATGAGTTTCAAAAGAAAATTTATTATTAGCCTAGCAATTATAGTAATTATCAAAACTCACCCAAAGCTGTCAAAGAAAATCAAGTATTTATCTAAAAGGCTTCAAATATAACTTCCTTTGAAACCACTGATAAGGTCATATGTATAAATCTTGAAAAATCAATTATTTGCCAAAAATCTAATGTCCAAGGCTTAAGCTTATGTCATGACAAGGAAGAAAACCAAGTGGAATGAATCATACTGAAGATTCCTATTTGGTATGAGAATAATTAAAGAATCTAACCTCCTTAGCTACATCCTTTAACTTGTATACCAGCTACTTCAAAGCTTCTGCATAATCTCTTCTAAGCTCTAAATCATCAATCTACGTTTAGCAAAGCTCTACCCTGCATCAATGATGACAAAAAAAACAAAAATACAACCTATAGATAATAATTTTGGTTCCAAAAAGCAAATTTCATTAGTAGGAGCAGTGAAATTTAACATCAAACTTGTTATAATTTTTATGTAAAAGCTTCTGACCTTTGAAAGCAATATAAAACAAAGGTCATGCACAAAAAAAAGTAGGATGAACTTCAACCTCTAAGATCCTAACAAGTGGCATCCCCATTTTGACACCATTTTGCTTTTTAAATTTTTAGTTAGAATGGAATCCTGAGTTGAAAGCTTCCTTGATTGCTTGAATCCTTCCCTACTTATCTGACCCGAAAATGGACTTCCAAAATCTGCACAAGGGTACAAGATCCATTTCATACATTGATACCTGAATGCGGGTAAAATTAGATACAAGATCCATTTCATACTTTGATACCCGAATGTGGGTAAAATTAGATTCCACCTTGAGAAATGGCGTGAAACAAACCTGTGTCAAGCTCAATTATTTCCGCATTTCTTGCTCTTACTGTGGACAGTCAGCAGAGCTAATTTTCAGAGCAACTGGTGGATTGGTCACAACTGATTTCCCAGATGTGGCTTGTAAGCTTCTATTTAAACCCACAAGATAGACTGAATCCCTACAACGTACTGCAAGCTCTATCTAATATAGAACAAAATGAAAATCCTCGTAAAAAAGAAATCAACATTAACTTCCCATCCCTCAATCCTTTTTCACTGCCGAACTAAGAACAAACTTCCTTTTACCAAAATGGATGTTTCAGAAAATAACACTATAATCTTTGTATCCTTTTGTCAAATCAATTTCCCAATAAAAATTTCTAGTCATGATGAAGCATATAGTATACTATAACAACAAAAAAGTGCAAACCTAGGAGAAATATGAACAAGAAATAATACATCCAATGACCAAATTGTAGAGTAATTGCAAAAAGTAGAACCTAACAGGAAGTAGTTCTGCAGCAAGAATCACAAAAACACCAGTCCAAGAGCAAAGGGGTCATAAAAAGCTAGATAGCGTTCATGAATCATGGCATTCACAATCTTTACCCCAAGATTGCGTGCATAAGTGGTTAGCTGCTGCCTCTTGAGGCTAGAATCATCCGCAATAAGCACAATTTTTTCTGCAAGAATATCTGGAAAATCGACATCTTTGATTTCAGTAAATGTAGAAGAAGCATCGAATCCACGAACAGATTCGAGGAGAAAAATCCAATCTCCCCATTTTGGTATACTTCTCTCTCATTTTTGTGGAGCTTCCCTATTTCAAATCACTAGATCTGACAGAGCGAGGCTGGATCTATCATTGATATGGCCAGAAAAACCTCAACTGCTCGGATCTCCCTATCCGCTTTGGTGATGATGGCGGCGACAGTTATGAATCTGGTCTGGTACCCTTTTTGGACTAGGAGGAGAAGTTGAAGGCTTTGGTGATATTGGTTTTGGGAAGGCGGTGGGGTTTCGGTTGGGAAGAAAACTTCAATATTTTGACGAAAACCTTGGGAACATAAGGCCAAACGAAAAACATAAACACCAGGTTTAGAAAAAAGTAGTGATTGAAACTTGATAGCCACATAACAGATGGTTTGTAGAGAAGATTAGAAGAAAATAAATGTTTTGATTTTTTTAATGAATGATTATCTTCTTGTCGTGTGCTTTTGGTCCGCTGACACTTTCACTTCGTTCATTTTTTTTCCCATTTTCCTCCTGGTCTTTCAGTTTTGGGATTCGTTCCTTGCTCTGCCTTTTTTTTTTTCAAACAAAAACAACTTTAAAGGTCAATCTTATATAAATAAAAAAAAATCAAAATTTTTAATAAATTTTTTTTTAATGCGTATGACCTATATTATTTATATAAGTAGACGATCTTGAAAAATTTAGGTATCTCATATTTTATTTTAATTGAATTATTTTTAAAAAGTTAAATTAAATTAATTAATTTATTATTATTATTTATTTTAAATTTCTCACAATTAAATTCATATCAAAGTTAATAAAATTTTAATTGTCATCAATAAGATAATTTTGTGTTCTCTTTTCTAATTATAATATCAACTCTTAATTATATTTGTGTAAAAAAAAATCACTTTGTAATTTTGAAATCTATGATCTATTTATTTACTCTATCTTTTAAATTATGTATACGCATTTAGTATATATATATATTAATTTTAAAATAATTAATAGATGATTAAATCAATTAAAATTAATTTTAAAATATATCAAATAAAATGAATTTCATTACCATCATTACACTTATTTCAAAATCTTTATTTTTTCATTTTTCTAAAATAAGTTAAATACATAATATGTTTGATTATTCTAATTATCAAGTATAAACTACTCTTAATTTAAAATATTATTATTGATTTTAATTTGATTCTTAAATTTATTTTAGTCAATTAAATATTCAAAAATTACAAATCATCTCACAATTATTTTCAAGACCATCGTATTAGGATGCTTAAGAAATAAATTGTATCCCTACAATATTTTTTTCTATTATCATGATATTTTTTTGCCATGCAATAAACCTAGCTTAGATTCTATTTCTTTTTGTTTGTGATGTTAAATATAGATAGATTAGATGCACAAATTACTTTATATTTGGTTTTGTATTATTTTGGGAATTGCTTTATTTTTTTTTCTTTTGTGTTAAGATCTTTTATATTAATTCTTCATCATAGTTGAATAATGATTTATTTTTAGAAAAAAAAATCATTTTCAAAAGAAATGATAAAATTAAGCAAAATTTCTTGAAAATTTTATGTTTTGGATTTCTTTTTAAATTTTACCTATTGCTATTACCTATATTATAGTTTAAAACTATACATATATTATATATAACTTTATACATTTTTTTTAATTTTTTTTATAATATCGATTTATATATCGAATTCTCATTATACTTTATCATGAAATAAATGAGCAAGTTAGGTGATAAATTAGAGAAAAGTGAGCACTTATCACCTATCCTATAATATGTATCACATATGAATTTTATTTTTTATTTTTTGTATGAAGTGAATTGATTTGTTTATTTTCTTAGTGATGAATTTTTTTGTTGTCATTTTGATATTATGTTTGTTGTTTTGATATTATCACTTTTATGATTTAACTTAAAATGGAGCTAATTACTATCCAAGTAAATGAAAATTGATAGAAGTAGCTCTTTAGTTTCAATTTTTTAATACATATAACAAGCATTATAAGGTTTATGGTAAATGATGGTTATTTTAACCAAATAATTGAAAAAGGTAATTTTTTATTCAACATTTTACTATACTATTTTTTTTTACAAAATTTGTAGGGGTGAATTTTTTTTAAAAAACATTTAGAATAAGTTGAATTTCTTATAATTTAAAAAAAGATATAGTTTCATGTAGATTTAAGTAGAGCTAAATTCAAATGTGAACTTTTATTATTTTTAATATATTGAAATATATAGTAAAAAAAAAAAAGTTAAGTATGCATAATAAGTTATTACTCTTATATACATTAAGGCTGATAGGCTTATTTTTTTATGAGAATATTAATAACGTATTTTATCATCAAAAAATAATTTTTAGGCAAAATTATAAATATAACCTTTTTAAAAATAAAACAAATTGATGTTTTTTCTAATAATAAATACTTTAATTTTAAATAGTAGTATATATATACTAAAAAATTATCTGATTTTGTGGTTGATCTATCTTTTTTAAATGTGATAGTCTAATTTAGTATTACATGTCCAAATTAATTTACTTGATAACATTTGACTTTTAGTGATGTTATAAATTATTTCAACTTGAATTTAGTAAAAGTTTCTAATTATTAACAAAATTCAATTACAAATTGAAATAAAAAAAATTTGTTGCTCATATATTCAAATATTTGTATGCAAAATCACATCTTAATCAAATTTTCATCGATTTTAGTTTTTATTGCCATATATTTTAAAGTGTTTATATATTAAATGAATATTATTACTAATTCAAATCTTTTTGATGTAATTACTCTTAATCTATTATTAGTGTTAATTGACTATTAATATTTAAAATTTTTATTTTATTTTATTTAAAAATTATTATAAAATAAAATTATCACCCATGTCTCGTACGGGTTTAAATCTAATATTAATAAATATACATACTAATATCATATTTACCCTTAAAAAAAATTAAAATTGAGATAGATGCAAGGAATTATGACGATCATTCCATATTTGCCATTAAAAGTCACGATTTAAAAAACAAAAAAGAATTATCTGCCTCAAAATTTCTATCTCTAAATATGCTTTGTGTCGTAGTGAAAGTTGGAGAAGGTAATTTAAATTACAAACTTAGCCTTAATTAAATTAAGTGAATTGCATAAATTTTAACTTACCAAAATTACTTTCCCCAATTAACTAACAACTTTAAAATTAAACTAGTTAATCTAACAAATAAAACTACCGATCATGGAAGAACAACCTAAAACTTAAATGTAAATTACTCAACCAAACTTAAACATGCCGCAAATCAACAAGCAATTACAAATATGGAATTGAAAGCAAGAAATTAAAAGAACATAAATTAAAGAACTTGTAAAGTAAAGATCTAAGAATAAATTGCAATAAAGAGTAAAGAGCTAGGGAATTTATAGTGTAAGGGAAATGTCAGTCGCAAGTAATTAAAAGTAAGTTGCTAGAATTTAAAAGTGCTTAAAATTAAAAGTCAAGTACATTAAGGTTGCATAAATTTAAAGAAGGATAAAGTAAAGTGTTGGGAATTTAAATTGCATGAAATGTAAAGAACATGAAAATAAACCAATTATAATCGAATGTAAAACAGAAAATGAAAACAACATTTTATGAACTTGAAAATAAATCAAACTAAAATGGAAAATGATAGATTCAAGTAGAGATGTGCCCTCTAGGTGATTTCTAAATATAATGGCAAACTTCGACCTTCCTCATCTTGCCCAACCAGCCATGGAAACCAAAGGAAAGAAGCAAAAATGGCATTGAACAAAAACTGACACTGTAAAGGAAAGTGAGAGAGTTAAGGAGTGAAAAGGCTATTAAATACTTGAAGGAAAGTAGCTAAGGAAGCATAAAAACCGAATCAAAAGAGCACAGGAAATGTAAACAGAAGCGAGTAGGAAAACAAGAAACTTCCATTGCTAAACCAAAACTTTAAGCTTGCAAAATTAATTGTAAATATAGCGACAATATAGAAGATTAAAGGATGAAAATAACGATGAAAAACTAAAGGAAAATACGAAGGAAATGCATGAAATTGAACAGCTACAGCAGCTGCCAGCATTTATGGCGTTACAAGGAAAGGAAAATGGAAAAGTAAATGGCGGCTGGGGCTTGGATTCGCTTGCAGCCAAGACCTCCCTAATATAGGCAACTCCTAAGTCTTCATCCTCCAACCATTATGCTCTAAAAAGCCAGGTCAACAGCTCGCTTTAGCCTTCTTTTTGCGTCAATTTCAGCATGGGATCATCTTTGTCGTCTGGTGCTGCTGTCCCCTTTTGTCCACTGGTGAGTCATGCATTCCTTAAGCAATCTAGCTTAGCAACTTTCTCCAAATCAGCAACATTTTGAGGAATATGGTGTGGCTAGCTTGTCCATGTAGGAGGAGTCCTGAATCTCACATCGAATATAAAAAAAAAGGTCACTGGGGTATATAAGCGTTCACACCATCTCTTTTTTGTAAGGGGCCTTTTGTAAGACAAAACCGTGAGGCCAAAGGGTCAGAGCAGACAATACCTCACAAGGGTATGAACCGTGACGGTCAGGTTGATCTGGGACGCCGGATGAGTGCATGCTCGGGTCTCGGAGTCGCGCGGGTTTGAAGCTTAAGTCCCAAACCGTGACAATCATTGTCCAAGTCAGCAATGGGGGTTTGACAGCTAGGCCAAATAGCCCTAATCTAATTACATTAGTACAGCAAAATCAAATAATCAATCACACAAGAGATAATACTTTAACTTGGTTCAGTCCAATCGACCTACGTCCACGGATGAGAAACAAGATCCACTAATTGTAGAGAATTACAAACATATATTAAAATATATCAACTACTCAACAATCAATACCTGTAGACCCTCTTAATCTCCTCTAGTCTTATGGAGTATTCTCAACCTAAACAAACCCATACCCATGTGCACCATTTCAACACAACCAAACAAATACCCATATGCACCAATACATCATACTTATGTGGACCCTCTCAGTCTCCTCAATCCACTCACAAACAAACATACACGCCTATAAGACGTAAATTTTCAGTAGTCTTATGAGGTGTCTACCCATAAAATCTTATAACTCTATAAAGACTTCACCTATTTATAACTATATAAACTTGCCTATTAAGAATCTCTCTCCTCTTAAAATTCTTCTTTTGCAGTCAAACTTATCTATTAAGAATCTTTTTCCTTTTAGAATCATTTTTTTGCAAGTCTTCTGGTTGATCAAACAATATCTAACAAATCCTAAACAAATCTCCTATGGGATTTGAGTCATTATTCCTAACAATCTCCACCTTAACTCAAATTCCATCAATAATCTGTCTTCATGCTAGACATGCTTGGCTCCACCTGTAATGAAAGTTTCACAATTATCTTCTCTTGTGTGCCTTTACGCTTCATGCAAACCTAACTTTAAAACACGAATTCAAATTTCTTTCTTGAATCAAACTCCTCTAAGCTTGTTTATTCTCATGTCTCGAACCATCTGCTTTTCTTATATCTTGAACCTTTAGTTTTGATACCACTGTTAGGGATCACTATAGCTCTGAT